ACATCCACAGCCAATGAATCAACGAACAAAGCCTTGAGGATACTTTCCCCCTGTAAAATTGACCCTTGGTGAGTAACCCTGCACAATTTTTTCATATTAAGCACAATGCAAAGACAATCATAACATCTATTGTTTATATTTGCATGGGTCATTAAATATTGAAGATCTCCCTCCCCTTCATACCTGCTAGAATAATTACTAATAGGTAATTCAGTTTAAGGGCAGTAAGTCAGGTTAAACGTGCGTCCAAACATTTGACAATAACTGACAATACCAAATAGTAGTTTACAAGAATTACACTGAATGACTATTATTGTCTATGCAAAAACAGTTCAAAATCATTTTTATCTTGCGATCAGTCAGTTAAAAATTGATACATTATCATTCCTTTCGACTTGTTTTTATACCTTTTCATGAAATTAAGAATTTTAGCTGATACTGGATTAGCTCCACATTTCCTGTCATTCCTCTGCCTGCCCTCTTCATGTCTTCTTTGCAACGAGCCTATTTTGTGCAGTGAAATTATATCCATCAATATCTATTTTAAAACAAACGATTTTACGTGCTGATGGTGAAATTTTACTGTACCTTGGTCACACAGCGAGCGTCGATGGACGTGCAGTCAGTGCCATTGAATTTTGCGCCGTTTGGTTTAAAAGTGCAGGGTTAAAGTGTACGTACTGCTATACGGGGACAGGTATACAGTAAAGAATACGTCAATTAGGCGTTTGAGACAAGGTCAAAAAGTGCATCTTTAGACCAAATAGCGGGTGGGGAGGGCATCGCAAACTGATTTATAGTTCTTCACCAGTGATGTAAAATCCATCACGAAACTGCATTGTACTTATAAGCAATGACAATTTGTAGGTCAAGTGCGATAGGAACTTTAATGTTAAAAGTCACACATACAACAATTCAGTCAAAGAAAAGAAAAAAAACTAAAGGCATAAGAAGCGCTATTCTTTCAGATTATCAGTAAGTTACCCTGCTTTCCTCCGAACTGGTGATATGACATGTTATAAGGGCGCCACCAATTCATTATGCGAAAAACATAAATATATATAAAAACAACTTTCAGTTTGTGGGGTCTAATTATTATTCTGATATTTCAGCGTCGCTCGCCGGTCGTAGATCTCCACACGCCTTTGCTCGTCTTTGGCCTCAAGCAAGGAAAAGTGAAAGTTGCGTTTGCGCCACTTGCTTTCCCCCGTTTGAACGTGCAGATCGCCGATACAGCGCGAAAAGCGAAACTGCACCGAATCGCAGAAATAAACACTGAACTGCTGTAAACTTCATAGTTAGCAGCGCAACCACAGAAACGTATAAGCAACTTGACCAAGTGCCGCACTTTCGACCCCCCCCCCCAAATCCTTAGGAAACACATTATCAGTGTTTATAATGGGCACTCGAAATGTCTCCCAAATAACATAAGACAGAATGACAGAATACACCACCATTTACCAACAAAACAAACACCAAGACTGCCGTTTCTCCAAACTGTCAATGCAGCACATACTGCCATGCAGCACAGGTCGGGTAGTTTCTTTAAAAAAAAATGAAAAAAAAAAAATACAATGAAAAAAGAAACATCACATTCTCCAAAACAGAGTGCAAGTATTTTCACTTACCTTTTCGGGTTGTTCAGTTTACTTTTCACGTAAAAGTCCCCTTCCCACAAATTAAAATAATAAATAATGGCCCCAGCAGCGCAGAGAGGGAGAGTAAGTGCCGCCCCCGCCGCCTTCGCTCACTTACACACAGTTTTCTCTCTGTCGCACTTCGCTCTTTCATCCACCTCCGACCGCCCACATCCGGCTCGTCTCCCCGCTCGGCGTCGCCGCGTGCAGTTTAACCCGTCCAAGTGGTGAAGCTGCGCCTTTTCTTTTTATTTATCTCAACGGGGCCCTAGTTTACCTGCTCGGCACAGTTTAAGGACTTTTTTTGTAAACGTGCAGTACATTTATGAATTTCTGCCAATTAATGATAGGCCTACTGAAAATTATAAGTGGCCTTTCAGTTGCCAACTGGTAACACGGCGATTAATCTGGTTGTGTTTGGTGCTTATACGACCAATAACGACCTGCATTACTACAGGAAATCGGTCATCATATGACGATATTTGACAGATATTTCCGTGTAACGTGTATTAAGTACAAATGTCGAAAATGTAGTGTTGCGCAATTGTAAGGGGGTATGTTTGCAATCTACAAGTTACAAGTCTTTCTCCGTCATTCTATTTCAGCGTGTTATTTAATTTATGTGTGCCAATATTATTAAATATACCACTTTTCAGTATTTTATGAAATATTACGCGTTTGCATAAGTGCTGCAACAAATTGGTCAAACTATCTAGTTTTGAAAAGTACTTCAAATAAATATTGTAGCTCTGGCAACATATTTCGATATAGGCAGCCTTCCTTTATATATGCACATATGAGAACCCACACAAACCAAACCCTGCTGCAAGTTTTCCAGCTTCCGTTGCCTAGGCGTATAGAATAGTACAGTACTTCTATAAATCAGGCGGTGTAACAATATTACTTTTCCCAAAGCATATTGTATTAGATTTACGGTTATTGTAACAAAAATGTATCTTTTCCGATTTCTCCGCCAGTGCACTGCAAAATCAACAGTGTTCACTTAGCAGCGGGTGTGTTTATCAGTTCTACGGGTATGAGATAAACACTCCCCCTACTATCTTACAGCTGATTTCGGTGTTTCACTGGCATAGCATAGTCCTCCATTTAATAGCAGCCCAGGTTCAAAATCATTTGCGAAAGATGATTCTAACACGTTATTCCTGGATGAAGAGATTAAGAACTTATTCACAGGATATAAAAAGTAACATATACTGTATATACACACACATATACATATATAGCCTACTCGCTAATGTGAATCCGAGGAAAATAGCAAAAAGGTCGTGAACATCGAAAAACAGACATCTTTGATCTGTAGATGCTCATTTTGCAGCACTTTGGTCTATCAACGTGTTTCGCTTTTAAAATGTAGTATATAAATAAACCGATTAGATATTTTTCATGCATGATCAACTTTCCAACAAGTTGGCCTACATAAAGTCAACTAAATTTATACGTTATTTCATTTTTAGCAGATTAGACGGAGATATTTTGGTAGAGTTTTAGTAAGTATTATGACTGAATGAATAGATCTAATTGTTCCAATACAGAAAATATGAAATGTCAGCTTATTATAGTTCTTTATACTTAAACATGTGTACTTTAAGGTTTTTACTGAGTGCTTTGGTAGTAATTTTGAGATGTTTCTTTACTGAGTTTTTTTGTTTTCAGTATTGCCAAACTACAAAGCATTCCTCAGACTTCGAAGATAGCAGAATTATCCATTTTGGTATTCAATGTAAAGATCGAACAATAGCGTACATAAACTATAAAGCATAGATATATTAATATAAAGTATAATGGAGTTTTAGGTTGTTTTGAATTGACTAACTAAACAATAGAAAACCACTATTAAGAACAGCATTTAAAAAAAAATGGATCCTGGCGCCATCTCTTGGTCAAATTATGTCACTGCACTACTTCAGGCTTGCGGCAGCGTGCAAAGCATGAAGCCAAGCAACCTAGATCGTCCTCAGGATACAAGGCAGAAGGTGACTGGGTGGTGCAGGGGAAGGGAAGGCAACCCTGATCCTGGAATACTGGAATCCGTAAGGTTTTCTATCCCACCTGGTCGCAAATAGCAACTCATCAGGTAGGATAAAAACAGCTGGATATTGGCACTCCAGTATTCAGTTTCTGTCTCAGCTCTGTGTGTTATGTGTCTGTGGGTATTTGCGTGCTCACTGAGGCTCCGTGTACTAACTCAGCAACACAGAAAATTTCCCACACTCTTCCATATTTTTCATTTAAGCAGCAAGTGTTTAAACTATGTACAGAATCAACATTATGAGCAAAAATGTGGTCATTGAGCATTTGGTATTTCACTGGTTATGAAACAGCACTTTGTCCCGGTGAAAACACTACAATCACTTTTATAGAACGATTTCGGTTTTAATTAAAATTCATTCCATAGCATTAAAAGGAAATTGTTCTGTACAATTAAGCCAAGTGAAAGATTACAGGTTACATACATGCCTGACACCTATCTCAGTCCACGGTATTGTTTGACTAATTCCATAAAGCATTCTCAAGGATGTTGTTTTCAAAATGCAGTTGTTTTGTTTGTGGACAATCTGGCTGCATCTTGCATGCACAGGTCACCTTTCTGCAGGGTGGGGCTGCTCTCTTGAACCTCCCCCCCCCCCCCGGCCTCATATTGCTAACTTAGGTGAAAAAGACCAAAGCCTTTGGTGCACCACTGGTAAAACCAGCAAAATGGCACACAATCTTCAGATAAACTGAAAACTTTAGCTACTTTAGAAATTGCGCAAGACTGAAAATTCTGAAATTTAAAATGTATTAAAAATAGAAAGTTTCATTTTTAGTTGATCAGAGCTGCGTCCACATTTAGGAGCACATTCACAAGTTAGGTGTGCTGTGCAGCCTGGGACAGGCTTAAGCATCCCATAATTCTGGTCAGGAATAAATGCCTGAAAAATAGATTTGGTGAATCACAGTGTTTCTCAAAAGCACAATCTGAACCCTAAATGTAAAAACCAGTAAGGCTAATTTGGAAACTAGAAGCAGGAACCTGTGTCAAACCAGTCTGGGAATTCTTTAGACCAGGGGTCTCCAACTCCAGTCCTGGAGAGCTACTATCCAGTAGTTTTCTATGCTACCTTGCTTCTGATGAGTGACACCTGCTCCTGGTATTTACCCAAAGACAGGTGTGGCTCATCAGACACCAGGTTGGATAGAAACCTACTGGATAGTAGCTCTCCAGGAGCGGAGTCGGAGACCCCTGCTTTAGACATTTCATGATGATTGCAGGGAAGAATAGCAGCAGCCGTTTTATACTAGACCGATATATTACTGGTTCTGAGATTGCAATTTATTTCCACAGGTTACAAACCAACACAATTTATATTAAGGTCAATATTTTAATAATAGGATTATAAACTGAGCATTGATTTTTGACCATGCAGCTTTATTTTTCCTGCTTGACATGAACAGTACTGAAGTCATTTTAAAATATGGCATTTAAAAAGCAGTATAGTGTATGAAAGCCCACAATACCCAGACCCGTCGTTGGAACAAACCGTAAATGCCTCACAATCCTGTCGTCTTGGGACCAGGTTGTTTCAGAGAAAGGGAAACACAAAACAGAACCCTACACAGTCTTGATAGACTGAAATTACACAAAAGGTGATTAAAAGACGGCAAGACGGAAAAACAACATAGAAAAGGACAAACCGCAGACCATACAGTTGAACAAATACTGATTGGCCATTCCAATAGCCGAAGAGGCCGTTATGGGCGCCAAAGTGGCACCTCCCACAACCATGACACGCCTGGCTAGCAGCTACACACAAATGCTCCCAAGCCAGTCATTCACAGCAGGAAACCCGCTAGCAGAGAGTGGCCATGTGGGGGGCAGTGACAGGAAACAACTCAGAATGGTTTGAAATTACCCATGAAAAATGCTTCTTCAATTGGTAACTTGCGAAACTGGTGAAGACTGTTTAACAAACAACTGCTTGCCATGTTCTGTCTCCTGCCGTCCCCCGCGAGTCCTGCAGATCTTAAAAGACTTTAGCTCCAAGAGTAAAAGAATACAATGCCAAATATCCATAACGTTTTAAAAAAATAATATATATATATATATATTTCATACATTTCTTACCATTATGAGAGAAAGACGTTTGGGAGACATTGCTGATACCAGTAACAGATGTATATAATGTACTGATTATCCAGTTTTATAGCTATAAAAAAAGAAGTGTAGCTTCCTTGATATGCAATGTTTAGTAATGTTTGAAGAGTAAAAAAAGAAAAAAAGAAAAAAAAGAACCATGATGTAATAGGCTTCTTGCCATCACAAGGCTGCAGTATGCTAGGTAATCAGTGAGTGAAGGACAACAGCTTGAGACAAGTGTTCATCCATCCTGTGGGCCAATGGCTCTTGTCTGGTCCTCACATGGGCGAAGCTGCGTCAGAGCTGAAGTCCATGTCTAGAGTGAGGGATTCTGGGAAAATAAGAGCCAAAGACAGTGGCCCACGTGGATAACATGCACGGTCAGTTTCACTTGAATACCAATGTCTCACCAATTGACTCAGCAATGTTAGCTTTCCAATGAATGGCAGTAGGATATAACAGTTGGTGCTATGGGGAGTTATGATGGTTTGCACACTGTATTTACCTAACCTTAGAGTCTACTAAGAGTTATGGGACAGGCTGGTGATTAATACAGAACACATAACGGTGATTAAACTTTGGGCCTACCCAAGGGGCCAGGGTTGGCTTCAGCCCCCTCATTGTGCATCAATGAGTCCAGGGTGCGAGGGGACATGGGGAACAGGTCACTAGTGTTTCCCGAGTTTGTACTGCAAAAGACAGAAGGGCAGAAATGAGCTGAAGGGGTAGGACATTCAAAATACATAAAATGCTGATCACTAAAGCTTCTGAATAAGTACCGATAAAGGCTAATTGCAACCTAAACACTAAACAAAATGGAAACATTTATGGTGTCTAGAGACCCAGAGTTAAACGGAATTGACAGGTGCTGTCACTATATTTCTGAAGATTAAAGCAGGGTTTTACCATCTTGGTTCTAAGGACCAGGATGCGTTTTGCCTTTACAAACAGGATGAGACACAACGCACACCTGTCCATAGCACGAGAATGGCAAAACTATAAGAATGAACTTTGCCTCATTAGATATATTTATAGGCATAAATTATATGCCTCTTTTTTAATAATAGCAAAAGCTATTGGTCAGTTTACAGAAATGATTCTCACTTCACTTATGAGCCCAGATGCACCAAAGACCAAAATCTGGCATTTTCCACAAACGATGTTAGCATGAATGTTAATAATACACTAACAAAAAATTAATTTGAAAGGATGATACATGTTAGTGGCTGGAGCTGCAGGACAAAGATTATCATCAGAAAACAGCCCTAAGTAAATAAATAATAAAAACTGAAAGGGACCCATAAAGATTTCACCAGTTTTAAAATAAAATGTAAAAAATTACGGAAATGCAGGGATGACGCCGGAAAAAAAAAAAACATCTGTTGTTTACTTAGATACTCTGAAAATCTAAAAAAAAAATAATATTAATGATAATAATAAAGTGAAAAAAAATCGGTATGCACATTTAAAATATGCAATGTCATATGCCTCTAGTCTGTGCAAAAACACAATATTTATGTCAACGTCATGCATGCACCACATACAAAAACTGTTCTTAGACAAAGGCACTGGCAGCAGTGTTGCATACTGATATTTTGAACCAAGTGAACATATTAACCGTTAAAGCAGGGCTGGGCAGTCTTACCCAGAAAGGGCCGCTGTGTATGCAGGTTTTCACTGCAACTCCCTCGTTACACTATTGATTAGAGGACTGATTGGCTGAGGAGTCCTCACACCTGGGTTTGAACAGCTGACCTAAAGGTTACCCCAAACACCTGTACGCACAGCGGCCCTTTGCGGGTAAGATTGCCCACCCTTGCTTTAAAGTCCAGTTTAATATCTTGCCACAATACATGTGTTGTTTCATTAAGTACTCATTTTTTATGGTTTTAATTTTGTTTGATAATATGTACCATGAGTTCAGAGAGGTATGGTCCTTACAGACACAGACTAATACCTGGAGACAGCACGTTACATTGCAATGTTCTTGTGCTAGCCTTGCACATTGGCTTGGTATATTCTGGGTCCTTTGTTCATCCTAATATTCTGTGTATATAAGGAGGAAGGTCTCACTCAGGCACTGATTTCACTTCATTTTCATAAATCGTCAACTAGGCCACTGCTTTCGGTTCTGTCCATTTCTCAACATGCTTTAACATCACACGTCTCTGCCCAGAAAATGCCAAATGTCCAGGTTTTGGGGCCAGCGACATTGTGGAACACATTGCAGCATTTCACCAACTGGATTTCAATAAAAGGTTCATGGGGTTTGGAGCCTATAGCAGGCAGCATATGCAGAAGAGCCTGGATAAGCAGTTGGAATGTGGATAGTTTTCAGTAAATTATTAAATAAGAAAAAATTTATGCAAGAGCAATTCTTAACGTCAAAAAAATTTCATGTAAAAGTTTCATGTAAATCTATAATAATGAATTCTACATAATTTTTATATTATATAGTGAAATAAGATCATAAGACCACAATAAACACAGCAGTGATGACAAACAGGTTAATATACCAACATCTTTGTTAATGTGTTAACACTGACAGCCCTAACTTATACACATGCATGACCATAAAAACACATGTTTGGGTGGAGGGGTGATTTTAATCCAAAAAAGTAAAAAAAAAATCAGGGAAATACAAAGATAAATTTGAAGGACTGAGATGAGTCCTGCAGCTAGGAGCGAGACACGTATCAGTTTTGGTGCTTATCCACCACCAGTGGGCGCCCAAGAGACACATACCCCTCCCCCTCCACACCACAGCCCTGGCCCACCCTACCCGGGGAATCCATTCGCCAGGAGCTCGCTGTCCGGCAAGTCCATGAACACGGAGGGGCACCTAAGGAGACAGGTCAGGTTCTCACAACGCTCCCACTGCACACCTCCGACCAGCCTCCTCTCCCATTTTTCCTCATACCCCCTAAACACTTCTGCATTCTATCACTCATTGGATCCTACACTCTTTTTCTAAACTAGGCAACACCCATATTAGTCCTCCTATGACTGCTTGCACTTTACAGGTCATATGAAAACATTCTGAGTTCAGTTCCTTGCTCATTTATCACTGCTTTCTGCTTCAGTGTGGGGGTGAAACAGTCTTTTAACTTCATAACTCTGGCTTAAGGTGCATACATTTGAAGGTATAAATGATGTTTGTCATATTTGCCATATTTGATGGGCCACAAGGCTCTGAGTTTCAGACAATTCAAATTCACTAAAAAAAGAAAGAAAAAAAAAAACAGAGAGAGACAGAGAGAGAGAGAGAGAGACAGACAGAGAGAGAGAGAGAGAGAGACAGAGAGAGAGAGAGAGACAGAGAGACAGACAGAGAGAGAGAGACAGACAGACAGAGAGAGAGAGAGAGAGAGAGAGACAGAGAGAGAGAGACAGACAGACAGAGAGAGAGAGAGAGA